TCATCTTTTCTACCGCCCCCACCTGAATCTCCCTACACATTTTCCCCGCCACATCCTATGTTTTAGAAGCAACAGAAATGTGGTTTCTTTGAGACTGTTGAGAAATTCCAGGAAGAAAAAGTAAACCAAATGAGGTGGTACTTGAAGAAGCCCAAGTGGGCGACACACTGATAAAAATAATCTCGAAGAGACGTATGCTTTCGGGGACACTAAAGGGACTTAACACCCAGCTGTTAGTGGTAACATTAAAGGTAAACGAGGCAGGGATCGACCCAGAGCAACTTACTTGGAGAGCCTAAACAGATGGAAGACAGGAAAAGTTCAGGGCACTATTATAGCTTCTTTTTTTTTTAGAGCATCCGAGAAAAGCAAGGAATGGCGAACCTTGGCCGAAGTCTGTCGCATGCCTGGCATTTAATGATATCCCACTTCAGTCTTTCTTCTCCAGTATACCGGTTGCGTAATTTTTTTATTCTCACCAGGCAGCCCTCCTTACTTCCAGTCACACCGTTGCACTATTTTTGTCCTCTTTCCTTCTTTCCTCTCTTTCTCGTAATGTTTCCCCAGAGTATCCTAAGATGGAATACACCACCTTATGTTTTATTCTGCAAAGAAAGTAATCTCACATCAACAACCTTGTGGACTAGGTAACGTTTTCTGATGGGAGTAAGATGAAACCTGATGTGAATATTATGTACATAATTGCATTCAGCTTTGACGTATTTGGTACAAGAATGTTCACAAAACAAATTTGTCGTACATAGGGGACTCAGCTATGAGTTTGTATTTTGCGTCACAAAGAAATTGAGAACCTCCGGATCTGTCTGTCTGTCTGTCTGTCTGTCTGTCTGTCTGTCTGTCTGTCTGTCTGTCTGTATGTCGGTATGTCTGTCTGTCTGACTGTCTGTCTGTCTGTCTGTCTGTCTATCTGTCTGTCTGTCTGTCTGTCTGTCTGTCTGTCTGTCTTATGTAAGTATGTGCTATGTTGCTGTTTTGCTTTTTTGGAAAGCATTCTACGGCGTTCGCAAATGCATAAGTTTATATGAGCGCGCGGGACACATTAAACATTTTTAGTTGGTAAGATATTTTGAATTTTGCCCGAGTGGTGGCCGAAGCCTATTCTTATCGATTTTGGACCACCAAGGAATCTTTAACGTGCGCGTCTTGTACATGGAACCTCCAAGATTTTACGCCCTAGTCCGAGAAGGCTAGGTCAAGATCTTTCCTACCATAAAATCAGGGGTATGGCTGAAAGACAGCAGTAACAAGGAGCCAAGGAGTAGCAGTAGAAAGGCTGCAGAAAAAGCCAGGAGCCTAGAGGAGGTGGCAAAGGAGGTGAGGGAGTGGGGACAGAAAGTAGAGTTGAAAGCAGACGACAGAACATTGCTACAGAGCAGGAAAGGAGGTGAAAGGAGACAGTTTTGTCGAAGAAAAATGTCAGTCGCTGTCCGGATTCGAACCCGAGACCTATTGAATGAGAGACGAACACCTTAAATTAGAGTCCACGAGAGCCCTCGTATGTATAAGTATGTGTGTGTGTGTTTGTATGTGCGTGTGTGCGTATGTGCGCGTGAGTGTATGTGTGTGTATTAGGGCTGGGCAATGAGTCGCTTTAGCAAAACCCGGGATGTTAGTGCATCTCTTCGGCAATTAGATGTGTTATGAACCGCTTCGGAAAATAGGTTTGAACCACTTCGACAAACGGTTAGGAAAGGGAGTATAACAGACTGAATTCAACAACGTTTCATTGAGAATTGTCCGGTTATCCAGATAGGTTATCAGGATTTTGCCCACCACTAGTGTGTATGTGTATATGTGTCCATTTTGTCCTTATCATTCTGAGTGTGTGTACGTGTGTGTGTATGTATGTATGTATGTATGTATGTATGTATGTATGTATGTATGTATGTATGTATGTATGTATGTATGTATGTATGTATGTATGTATGTATGTA